ATGCAGCAGTCCTCCACTGCTTGAGCACCTACTGTGTACTAGAACATGAATGTGGGTAAGGCATGGTCCCTGCCCTTGAACGGCATCCAGAGGAAGACATGAAGACAAAGCCTTGTCATAGGTACGGGGAGTTCCCCTAGCCTGTAAACCCCACCAGCAGAGAAAAAGTCAGTTTCATTTCTGCTGTGTCCCCAGCTCCCAGCACAGGGCAGCACCTAGCAGAAGTGCAATACAATCTACTGGCCATAGAAGTCCATGAGCTAAGTACCCCTCTGGGAAGTGTTCTCACAAGAGAAGCTTGAACTGTGCCTTTAAAGAGTACAGACAGCAGGAAGGGGCTCTGAACTGGAGAGAACATCTCGCGCCAATGCCTGGAATGACGAAACAGTGTCATCTGCATTTCACACAATTTATGTTTTATTTATTATATTTGTATTCATAGCTTGTATTTACTACATTGAGAATATAATAGATAGATCACAAGAAATGATGTTTTTATTTGAAATTATAAAACTATAAAACTAAGAAAATGTTTGCATTTCTCCATTTCTCATGGCTACTAAATGTCTTAAAGAGTGTTTAGCATCAAGTAAGTAAATTGTAATAACAGCAAAACCATCTTTAAATAATGAAAGAAAAATATAAGTTTTTATGATAAAGGAGTCAGAAAATACAATGTTTATGGTCATTTCTTAAAGAATAACTAAAAGGCATATAAGGATAGATTCAGAAATAGTATAATTTGAGAGAATAAACATGGAAATAGTTAAAACGAATGACTAACAGTGAGCATTGAGTGATGACAAATAAAACAAACCATGAGAAAATACAGGAAAGAAAGAAAAATTTAACAAATATCAAATTAATTAAGAGATTCTCAGTATTTAACAAATCAAATAAATAAGCAAAATAAAAATTTATAAAAATGATGACACAAGTAATTTTTCAGTCTTTGGCAAGTCAAAAATATGAAAAATGAATGTACGTACTTATCAGAAATCATGTGTTATACTTAGAAATTATGAATTTGTCCCTTTTCCAATGCCAAGAGAAACATGTAAACCTTTGTTCATGTGCTTGCTGACAATGTCAACTTAATCAAATTCCAAAAATAACAAAGAAAAAAAATGCAAACATTTGAATACTTTTTAAAAGCACAGTAAATATATATGAGTTTAAAGTACTTAATAAAGGATATTATATGAAATAAGTCACGATAGCAATATAAATCTATTTATACTTAATGACAATAAAATAGATAAATTAATTTGTTTGAGATTCCACCATATCAATCCAATTAAGAAAACATATCTTTCTGAATTTTATAAAATTATTCATCAAACAAATATTTCTGTCCATGTGTGTCATTATTTGACCAAAGGAAAATAAGCACAATTGCATTGCTTTCTTTAGTTTGATTATTTAAAAGGACTCACCAGACTACCCAAAGTGTACTCCACAAGGAATTTATTTAAAGGAAAAGACTATGGTTAAATGAAAAAAAAAAAAAAATGTAGGCAAGCGTCTAAGGTTTGAGAGACACACAGCAGCAAGGAATACCCAGGCAACCTTTTTTCCGCCATGACCTAGGCTGAACTCTTGCTTGAAATCAGATGAGCTCTTCAAAGAATCTGGATTTCTGGAGAATTAAGAAAGTAAGGGGAGTTGAAGTGGGGTGTGAATTATCTTGGTCATGCTCCTTCAAGTTTTTCTACCCATGTTTGCAACAACTAAAGAGATACAGTAGATTTCACAGCTGACATAAAGCTAGACAGGCACCAAATTATGAATCATTTAAGCTTCAATGGCACCCAGTTGGTGCCCCTAGAGATCTGACCTTATCTTTCATGTGTTCAAAGCCAGTTATTTTTACCCTGATGCTCAGGGTAAAACCTCTTGGTTTTCTCCTTACCACAGAACTGCTGAGATGCCTCCCTCTTCCCAATGTACATGGTTTTGGAGCTCAGCACCTCTCCACATGCCTGCTGAACTTAGCACCATTCGATAGGACAGCCACCTGGGGTGCCAGGCTGGTGGGGCACATGTCAAAAGAGGGTGTTCTGCTTGGAAAGGCCACTAGAGTCCTTGGGATGGCTCCACGGCGGTTTAATTATTCTAAGCAGAAGGGTGGTCCTCGGGAAAAGAGAAAGTAGAAGGTCTGCTCCTTGCTATTTCCTCTCTCAGCTGTTCCTGAACTCTCTGTCCTCTTCTTTTCCAACCTGCTTGTGGAACTTTAATTTTCCATGCATAGCAAATGGCCGAGAGCAGCTCAAAATGTTCTTCCTACCACTAGGATTGGTATTTTCTTTTTCCTTTTTTCTTTTTTTTTTTGTCCGTTTTGAGATCGGCCGCACTGCGCTCAGCCAGTGAGTTTTTCTTTCTTTTTTTTTGTCCTTTTTGAGATCGGCCGCATTGTGCTCAGCCAGTGAGCACTGTGAGTGCACCGGTCATCCCTATATAGGATCCGAACCCGCGGTGGGAGCGCTTCTGCGCTCCCAGCGCCGCACTCTCCCAAGTGCACCACGGGCTCGGCTAGGATTGGTATTTTCAAAAGTACCAAAGCTTTAGGCTAAAGGGCTAATGACAGATTTCCAGGCCTCTGACAGACTCTTAAAGAAGATTGGGGGTACATGGGCAGGGTGGGAGGCATACCTGTTGGAGCCTCTGTGAGCTGTGGATTCTGTCAGTGAATGAGAGCAGCCCTGCTGGGGCAGGAGATGCAGCTCTCCAGGTACTAGCTGGTCTAAATCACAAGTATTCAACATGAAAACACTTGAGTGTCTGGGTGTCTTTTGTGATATGGGTCCTTCATCTGAGTGAAACTGTGTTCTCTAAGTTTAGCTCTTTATCATTCAAGTTAGTGCACTTGAGTACATAATAAAGAGGCATGTTATGAAGGTATGGACTGGGGAGTACTTAGGTACCCTAGAGAGGGGTTCTCTAACGTCAAAGTGCATGAATCACTGGGGAATCTCAGTACAATGTGATTCTGATTCAATAGTCAGGAAGAGCAGATAATCTGCCTCTCTGTAAGCTGTCAGCAGATATGATGCTGCGTGGACCACACTTGGAACTACAAAGCCCTAAAGCAAGGGTTCTCAACTCTGGCTGCATATTCACATATCTGGGGAGCTTTTAGAAATCTTGATGCCGGACTGTACCTGGCACGAATGAAATCAGAATCTCTAAGGGCGGGACCAAGATAGCAGTAGGTTTGCAAGCTCCTCAGGTAATTCCTGCACAGGTTGAGTTTGTATGAGGAGCCGAGTAGATGATGGGGCTGATTCCTACCACTTGAGAAATAGACCTGAAGTATGTTGCAACCATCGCTCTCTGATAGTGTATCCTTTAAGTGTGTATGAATTCAAATGAATAGTTACCTTAAATGTCACCAGCTCTGAAGTTTCCCAGGACTGATCCAGCCTCCAGGGGCGGCTCCACCTGTGTTTCTCAGCCATGGAGTCTCAGCTGAAGCCCTCACCACTGTTGTGGCTGTTCTCCATCCACCTGTGGCCTCCTGCTCTTGACTGCACAGCTAGCTGCCCCAGGTCCTTTTTGGCAAGCGGGATAGGGCCTTGAGGGATCTAGGTGAGAATAAACCTGGAAGTTTTATCTTCCTGTAGAACAAGGGTTCTCAACCCTGCTGCATATTAGAATAACCCCAGGCCATGGTGATATAGTGGATCTCGGGCAGGGTCCATGCCTCAGGCGAGTTTTAAAAGCTCCCCAGGTTCTAATATGAAATCAGAGGCTGTCAAATAAAATGACACTTTAAAAAATATACATATCGGGCCGGCCAGGTGGCGCACTAGATAAGTGCGCCGCTTGGGAAGCGCGGCGGCGCTCCCGCCCGAGGGTTCGGATCCCACATACGGACCGGTTCCCGCTCACTGGCTGAGCGAGGCGCGGGAGCAACACCGAGGGTTGCAATCCCGTTGCCGGTCCCCGGTCCGATCCAGCCTCCAGGGGCGGCTCCACCTGTGTTTCTCAGCCATGGAGTCTCAGCTGAAGCCCTCACCACTGTTGTGACTGTTCTCCATCCACCTGTGGCCTCCTGCTCTTGACTGCACAGCTAGCTGCCCCAGGTCCTTTTTGGCAAGCCTGATAGGGCCTTGAGGGATCTAGGTGAGAATAAACCTGGAAGTTTTATCTTCCTGTAGAACAAGGGTTCTCAACCTTGCTGCATATTAGAATAACCCCAGGCCATGGTGATATAGTGGATCTCGGGCAGGGTCCATGCCTCAGGCGAATTTTAAAAGCTCCCCAGGTTCTAATATGAAATCAGAGGCTGTCAAATAAAATGACACTTTAAAAAATATACATATTTGTATTTTCATCCACATTTTTAGAACTGATTCTAAAATTAATAAAAGGTGCTGTTCAGACCATAAATGAAATATAGAAGTGATTTTTAAAATACACATTTAGTGATTTAAAAGTACATATATATATTTTAAAAATCTGTATCTCCCTCTCATTCCATCCCATCCATGGTAGTTTTGAGGAGGCCAGTGGGCAAAGTGGGGAGTGACTTGAGCTGGATTTGGAGCCCGCCATCCGAGAAGTAATGTTAATTAGGGCACCGTGTCAATTAGGGCAAGGCCAGCCCCTGCACCAAAACCCAGACCTCAGCACCAGAACACAGTGGGGTTTGCTGCTCATGGAACTGTACGGGCCCGGGAAGAGGAAAGACGGGAGAAAGTCCTCTGTGCACTCATTCAGGTGCCCCAGCTGTGGCTTCCAAGGTGCCCCGGGGGCATCTCCCGTGCCCAGCAGGGAGGGGGAGTGGGCGGGGCCACGCATGCTCGCTCCCCATTGGCCGGAGCGCAGCACGTGGCCGCCTGCCCGGGTGTGAACCGGGGAGGCGGTCAGACCGAGCGCAGGTGCGGCTGAGCGCAGGTGCGCGGGGACAGCCCCAAGGCCTGGCGGGGACGGTGGCGGTGGCAGGACCCCAGAGATGATCTGAAGGGCGTGAGCTCTTTCTCTTCTTTTCTCCACAGACGTCGCTAACGGCACCAGTTCGGGGGGGTACCGCCCGCCTCCCAGAACCAAAGAGGTCATCATCAATGGCAGACTGTGAAACTGAAATACTGTTTCACCTGCAAGATTTTCCGGCCCCCTCGTGCCTCCCACTGCAGCCTTTGCGATAACTGCGTAGGTGAGTAGAGCGCAGGGCCCCTGCCGGGCGTGCGGCCTTGCGGCTGGCGGGAAAGGCCGTGCGGGGAGCGGCCCCTGCCTCTGCACAGACCGTGCTGGGGACAGCCCGCGCACCCGTCCCTCTGATCCTTCGCGACTGAAAACTCTGGGATGGTGTACTGCACTGTGTTTGTCTTTTGCTACTGGTCCCTTTCACCAGGCCTGGAGCTACCTAGCCACTTTTTGCTTTTTCCCTTTTACATCCTGCACAGCCCTAGGCCTTCTCCACCCCCAGCACGTGCACAAGGTGGGGGCTTTGCTCCTTGGACTGTCAGATCAGCAGGTCCTTGACATACTCCTAAGAAACATCTCACTCCTGCATCCCTCCATTGCCCGTAGGAGATGGACTTTGTGTAGTTGTCTTCTCCCCAGTCCTCGGAGGGGCATTTGGGGTGGAGAGCTGGAAGCACTGGATCCCACGGGAAGGAAAGAGGCAGAGGCCAGGAGCTTTCTCATCCTGCGGCTAGAGTTACGATCTCTACCCTTCCCAGAGACCACCAATACCTTTCCTCTCTGTCCAGTGGCTTTCTCCAGGACAGACTAGGGAAAGAGGCAGACAGAACTGAAAGCACAGGGGTCCTCGGTTGTAAAACTTGGCCCTACCCCTGACCCAGCCCAGGATTTGTACAGCTGACGTGGGTGCCAGCCCCTTGGAATTACTTGGCAAGCTTTTCCTGTCATTTCAGACTGAGAGCTGCCATCCACACCCACAGACCTGCTTCTTTCCTAGGCTGGAGCTCCTTAGAGATGAGGTTGGTAAGGAGATGACAGAAGACCTAAGTGAAAGGAACGGTAGCAAGAAAAGAACGAAGGCTTTGCCACAGTGGTCAAGATCCACATTTCCTCAGCCCCATAGCCTGCGTCTAGTAGAAGTGACCAAGGATATTCCTGGGAGAAAAAGCATGGAAATCCTGTTATCACATACCTGAAAGTCTAGGAATACGCCTCAAAACAAACCTTGTTTCCCTTAATAACACATTATTGATTGCTAACACTCTCCTTGAGTCAGAATTTGTAGTCTCAGTTCTTGAGAAAAATAAAATTTTATAATGTACTTCCTGCTTGCAAAGCAGTCTTCTTTTTATTTGTCTTAAATTTATCCTAACTTTAATAATCTACAATTTAGTACAAAGTTCATGTTTTCCCTATCAGGCCTTGTCTTGGTTTTATTAACTTAGATAAATTGCTTTTAGCCTTTGCCTCCCCCGTGGAACAGAATGGAATTTTCCATCTTTCCCATGTAGTAAATAGCCTACAGTAAAGAGCCTGGGATCTGACGCTGGATGTCTGAATCCAAATACTAGCTGTATGACTTAGACAAGCTACGTAAACTCTCTCTGCCTCAGTTTTCTAATCTCTACAGTGGAGTTGATAACAGTATCTACCTTGTGGGACGGTTGAGAGAGTCAATGTGTTGTCACAGGTGAAGCACTTGGAATAGTGCCCAGCACATAACAAATGCTCATTAATTGTTAGCTGCTACTACTGTTATTACTATGGCTCCCTTGATGTTTTTGGTTGGCTTTTTCTGGACAATTTCTTGATCTACTGTAGCCTTCTGTAGACCAGAACTACACCTTGTCCTCCATGTAGGGACACACCAGGGTTTCTACGAGACACATGACAGCTTTTGTTTGATGTCTGATACCTGGCAACACCAGCCCAGTGGCATCCCAGACCCATCTTGTGGACACTTTTAAGCCACAGAAGTATGGAGGCTTAAATATCTTCAGGGGAGCAAATCTGCAGGGATTCCCAGGACCTCCCTTGGATTATAATCTTGACCTCTGGGCCTATGAGACGATGGACCATAACAACTGGTACTTGTTCACGCAAACTCTTCTGTTACCTTGCATACCTTCTCCTGTAGGTCTGAATACTTATTCTAGTCTGCGTCTTGATAAATCGGGATTTGTTATCTACAGACCTGAAGAGTCTTTTCTTTTTATTACTTATAAAGATTTTTACCCATTTCTATACACCCCACTGTTTTCACTCATTCATTTTTTTATCAATTTGTCTCAATCCTCTCTTTCCTGTCTCTAGGCTACATTCTGAATCATGATAAAAAAAACTTTCTCCCACATTTCATAGTGACATTGTTTTAAGATTCCCTTTGGATTAGTGTCAGACACTTTACAAAAGTTCATATAATCACTCACATTTGTTCCCTCCGTTGCCCAGAGGTGTACATGTCCCTTGAAGAACCCTGATGAATTAGACATAAAATCCCTTAACCAAAATTATATATGCCCCTCTTCAGTTGATGGTGTACTTCTGCCATAGTGTGACTGTTTAAGACAGAATCCTCTGTATAGAATCTACCAGCTGTGAAAATAAGAGCCTTCGGTCTCTGTTACCCAGGACCAGGTCTGCACTTTTCTGATAAATCAGAGTCGCAATGGCAATTCAGTGTTCCACAGCACGTGGTCGTGTTCTGTAATTAGGAGTCTCAGAACGGCAAAGGGAAAGGAAAAGCAGAGGAAGTGGGAAAGTTTGGGGAGGGGTCAAGAGGAACTAGACTGGAGCCAAGGAGCTCGCTGCCAACAGCAGCCTCTAAGTGCTGTGCCGTGGTCCTGGGGCTGGAGTTGACAAAGCCTACCTGAGGCCCGGCCACATGGAGGACGCCTATGAGACGATGGACCATAACAACTGGTACTTGTTCACGCAAACTCTTCTGTTACCTTGCATACCTTCTCCTGTAGGTCTGAATACTTATTCTAGTCTGCGTCTTGATAAATCAGGATTTGTTATCTACAGACCTGAAGAGTCTTTTCTTTTTATTACTTATAAAGATTTTTACCCATTTCTATATACCCCACTGTTTCCACTCATTCATTTTTTATCAATTTGTCTCAATCCTCTCTTTCCTGTCTCTAGGCTACATTCTGAATCATGATAAAAAAAACTTTCTCCCACATTTCATAGTGACATTGTTATAAAATTACCTTTGGATTAGTGTCAGACACTTTACAAAAGTTCATATAATCACTCACATTTGTTCCCTCCATTGCCCAGAGGTGTACATGTCCCTTGAAGAACCCTGATGAATTAGACATAAAATTCCCTTACCAAAATTATATATGCCCCTCTTCAGTTGATGGTGTACTTCTGCCATAGTGTGACTGTTTAAGACAGAATCCTCTGTATAGAATCTACCAGCTGTGAAAATAAGAGCCTTTGGTCTCTGTTACCCAGGACCAGGTCTGCACTTTTCTGATAAATCAGAGTCGCAACGGCAGTTCAGTGTTCCACAGCACGTGGTCGTGTTCTGTAATTAGGAGTCTCAGAACGGCAAAGGGAAAGGAAAAGCAGAGGAAGTGGGAAAGCTTGGGAAGGGGTCAAGAGGAACTAGAGTGGAGCCAAGGAGCTCGCTGCCAACAGCAGCCTCTAAGTGCTGTTCCATGGTCCTGGGGCTGGAGTTGACAAAGCCTACTTGAGGCCCGGCCACATGGAGGACAGGGGAGAAGAGTAGCATGTGGTTGATTTAAGCTAAAGCTGCTCACAGCAGTTTACAAAAAACCTACACAGTTATTCAAACCTACAGAGCTTTGGTTTTCCAGTTAATTATACGACTCTTGGGCCTTTGGAGTGACTGATGAGCAGACCAGGGAATTGGGCTTTCTACATTCGGGAAAGTAGATTGGAAAGCAGATGTCTCCCACTGAGAAGTGTAATTGCAGAGTTTGCCACTATTTTATTTTTAGACAGAATGTTTTTACTGAAAGAATTCTACTTTTTGCAGCAAGGGGGAAAGTACAGTGCTGTGTTAAAAGCCAAGGTTGGGACATGTGGCTTTCCTTCCTCTGTAGTGCGTGCGTTTGTGTTGGTACTTCCCAGACCAATATGTAAATGTCACTCTGCATTGGGAGAAGAGAGAGGAAAAATGCAGCTTCCCAGGCAGTTGGGAAAAATATTTTTCTTTATTAAAAAAGTTTGAAATGAGAGCAAAGCCATAGAGGCTCTGCCTTTTTAGCTGAGGGAAGAGCCTCTTAGGGAGCAAACTCTGCAAATATAGAGCTGGTTAGCAGAGCCTGGTGGTTGGGGACCTGGCTCTAAGGACACACAGACCCAGGACTGAAATCTGGTCCTGTCATGGAATAATACTGGAACCTAGGCAAGTTATCTGAACACTCCCAACTACCTCCACATCTTCAGAATGGGGTGACCCTAGTGCTAGCCTGTAGGTTGCCTTTATGGATTAAGTGAGGTCATGCCCACCAGAGCAGCCAGCACAGGCCCAGCATACACCAAGGGATCAGTAGGTGCTCGCTACTGACAATGTTCTCATCAGGAACAGGGAAAGTGTTGCTGTTCGTGCTCCCTGACGACTGATCCAAACAAGGCTTGTCTAACAAAGTGACAGGAATCACCTCGCTTTCCTGTAATCTGGTAGGATTAGATGATTTGCAGGAACAGAAGTGAATACATTCTCTCTCTCTCTCTCTCTGACTTTGTGTTTATCTATTTCTGTCTCTTTCTTAGTCTTTCTCTCTCTCTCTCTCTCTAGTTCTTTCTCAGTGTTGCCATCAGATCGCTTCTGCACGTTTGGAGCAGAGTATTTGGGGTTGTTTGTTCATCCAGGCAATCGTCGAGGTTATAAAATGTTTTTAAACAACCAGCCACTGGGACGGTGGAGCCCCCTCTGTTCTCTCAGATCCTCACATTTCTCAGATCATTAAAAAAAGTAACCAAAGGAGCTAGAAAGCAAAACCTTGGCTTGTGAGGTCCCCTTAAACTTAATCTGTCCACGCTAAACCCCAACTGTGTGCCCTCCTAATTTGCCTGACCAGGGACCCTGAGAAGAAGGCTGTCCTTGGAGAGCCCTGGTCCAGTGTCAGAACAGCCAGTAGATTTCACTAGATTTGGGTATTTTTAATACAATCTAAACCTGTAATGCAAAGGGACTTACTTGAAATTAATCTATCACATGCAGGGGACAGACTAATAAAAAAGTTGGCT